GATATTTGAGTGTTGTTTCATAAAATAAAAAAATTGAGATTATGAAATTTCAAAGTGTTTTTGAAAACGCCGAAATTGAGGCTTGGGTTTCGAAAGAGATTATGTGATCACCAAAATGGTGGCCTTTGGAAACTTAGTGTGCCCAATACAGCTAGGCAAAGGAGTAGTAGATGGTTGAAGCTCGATGGCTGGGTTGCCAAGGCGGCTACTAGACTTTGGGGGGATTGGTGAATGGTAGTGACTTTGAGTGATGGCCTATGCAGCATCCCAAATTATATCCTACTCGTCCCCCATGAAAAACAAGAAGCGCTTTGTGTTCCCTAGGGTAAAAGACCCTAAAACTCCACAAGGATGATTAATGTGTGAACCCAACTATGATTTGCATTATTTGTTGCTAGTCAAGCATTCATGTTATTTAATACCCATGCATTGGATCCGATGCATAAATTTTATGGTGCTATGCTTATGATTTCAAATGATATTTTACCAGGTGTGCTCGTTATGTTTAACTCTAGATCTTGTTTTTATGTTTTTTATTTGAAACTTTATATTAAATGTTCATATTAATTGAGGAATTATTGGAATTTGAAACCTTGTATATGTTTGAGAAAGGTATATCCCCCTGTGCTAGTTGTTCTCATCCATAATGAGTTTGATTGGTATCATTTTTTTTTTTGCTTTATTATTAAAAAAAGCAAAAAACATAAGCAAAATTTATAAAAAAAATGTTTTTGTAATTTTTTTTTTTGTTTTTTCATAAACAAGTTGCCTACTCTTTAAAAAACAGAAAACAAGTTTTTCTTTTTTTCTTCATCAAAAAATGAAAAATATCTAGTGACATGGGACAAAACATTTTCTTCCTAACATCTCTTTCGATTTAATGTTTCTTTAATCTCCATCTCAAGAGTCACACTCATCTAATGGATCTCAAAGATTTATACTTCAAACAAAGAAAAAATCAACAGATTTCTTTAAAAAGAATCTAGACAGGCACTAAAAACTCGGTATGAGGAGCTGTTGAAGGTGATTACATTAATGTTGTCGGCATGCCAATAGTCATCTATGCATTCTCACACAATCACTGGACTAAACAAAGTAAAAACTTTGCCATGAGGGGAAAAAGGCGGCAGATGAGACGCGAAAGAAGATTATGAACACAGGAGATTGTTGCCTCACCGGGTGATGACTTTGGAGGGTTTAGAGTTGAGCAAGTGGGCATTTGGAATGGAATTGATGGAAGAATATTGACTATGGGGACCAATGGAGGTAAGAGTAGTGGTGATGGCATGGAAGGAGGAAATTTTTTNTCTTTTTTTCTTCATCAAAAAATGAAAAATATCTAGTGACATGGGACAAAACATTTTCTTCCTAACATCTCTTTCGATTTAATGTTTCTTTAATCTCCATCTCAAGAGTCACACTCATCTAATGGATCTCAAAGATTTATACTTCAAACAAAGAAAAAATCAACAGATTTCTTTAAAAAGAATCTAGACAGGCACTAAAAACTCGGTATGAGGAGCCGTTGAAGGTGATTACATTAATGTTGTCGGCATGCCAATAGTCATCTATGCATTCTCACACAATCACTGGACTAAACAAAGTAAAAACTTTGCCATGAGGGGAAAAAGGCGGCAGATGAGACGCGAAAGAAGATTATGAACACAGGAGATTGTTGCCTCACCGGGTGATGACTTTGGAGGGTTTAGAGTTGAGCAAGTGGGCATTTGGAATGGAATTGATGGAAGAATATTGACTATGGGGACCAATGGAGGTAAGAGTAGTGGTGATGGCATGGAAGGAGGAAATTTTTTTAGCAAGCAGCGGAATGACTTTATGTCTCCTTTACTTTTTCTTTTTCTTTTTTTCTCTTATTTTTGTTTTGTTAAAAACATTACCAAACATTTTTTTGATTCAAAATAATTGAAAAAGACCCAAAACAAATCAAAAACTAAAAAATAAAAATAAAACACAAGATGAAACTTTACCAAACGCCACCTTATTAACATTTTTAGGTATGCATCACAAGGCATAAGCAAGTCAATTGCTACATGATACTCTTTGGCTAGAAGGAACATTTCCGGTTACATATTTAGAAACTTATAAGGGATCAATATTACATGAGTCTGTGTAAATAGCTACTTTTTTGGATATTATTTGTGTAGCTTGATACGTTGTTGATGGTTAACTNATGAAGATTATGAACACAGGAGATTGTTGCCTCACCAGGTGATGACTTTGGAGGGTTTAGAGTTGAGCAAGTGGGCATTTGGAATGGAATTGATAGAAGAATATTGACTATGGGGACCAATGGAGGTAAGAGTAGTGGTGATGGCATGGAAGGAGGAAATTTTTTTAGCAAGCAGCGGAATGACTTTATGTCTCCTTTACTTTTTCTTTTTCTTTTTCTTTTTTTCTCTTATTTTTGTTTTGTTAAAAACATAACCAAACATTTTTTTGATTCAAAATAATTGAAAAAGACCCAAAACAAATCAAAAACTAAAAAATAAAAATAAAACACAAGATGAAACTTTACCAAACGCCACCTTATTAACATTTTTAGGTATGCATCACAAGGCATAAGCAAGTCAATTGCTACATGATACTCTTTGGCTAGAAGGAACATTTCCGGTTACATATTTAGAAACTTATAAGGGATCAATATTACATGAGTCTGTGTAAATAGCTACTTTTTTGGATATTATTTGTGTAGCTTGATACGTTGTTGATGGTTAACTTAGGGGAGAAGTATGAGATTATGTTTTGTCGTAGTTCTTGTAAAAGTAGGTTGAATGATTGGCCATTGAATTTGGGATAACTTTGTGGGCTTCCATTTGCGACCACAATTTTAGGATTTGTGTTGTACTAGATGGATGATGTCGAAATTTAGTTAGTTATGTTTATACAATGCTCTCAATGGGTTGCTCTTGTCATTCAGTCGTATGTGAGATTTTAAGAAAACTCCATCAAATTTTCGAATAACAAGTTTTATTCAATCAAATAACTACCTATATGCAAATTTTGTCATAACCAGGGGAGCATTTTAGAAACAAAAGCATTTTCTTATTATAGAAACAAAAGCATTTTCTTATTAAATCATGTCTTTTTATGAAATTTGGGGCACGAGTCCTAAGTCACACAGAACGGAAGCAGGAGCGGGAGCGTCTTTATAATGTCATACTATAGACATACATACATGTTTTTATAAAATGCAAATTAAAAAATTAAATTTCATACATAATTATATGATAAATTATTTAAGTTTATTTAATTATTATTTTGAAATAGAGATAATAGGGTGAATGCTTGATCAAAAAGTATTTGAAAGGCATTTTTATGCCTTGGAGTTGATCCCACATCAATGAGCCAGTAGCAATTGGCAGCCAACACACGTCTATAAGTAAAGCCTACTTTTCCAAGTACAAGTGTGTGAGGCTCATAGCGGGAAGCCTCTTCGTGAGGTTAGTATAGCAATGGAACACAGCCTTTTTAAACATTTGGGCTGATCCAGTGTAAGCTTTGGACTTTTAAATTAGTTAAGAATTTAAATTTTTAATTTGCGGATTTATTTTTTCAATTTGCGAATGTAGTGGAGTGAGAGCGCGAATTAATGTCGAATCCGCTCTTCATCCGCAAATTCACGCTCCGAGCGACGGCGCGTGAGTGGTAAGAGGAAAATTGTGACTAAAGGCATAACATAAACTTATACAATATACTAACACTAATTATTATCTTAGTCACATAGTTTGTGCCTCACAATCCACGCTCCATCGTTCCAGAGCTTAAATTCACGAGTTCGATATAAATTCGTGCTCCCACTCCATTAAATTTACAAATTCAAAAATTAAATTCGCGAATTACATATTAAAAATCTTAATCAAGTCAAAAACCCAAAATTTAACTTGGGTCGCCCTAAATATGTTAAAAAAGCCAATTTTCTTTGTGTTGTACTCAGCTCAACCAAAGGCTTTCCAACAAGGGCCCAATATAGTTNAGTCAAAAACCCAAAATTTAACTTGGGTCGCCCTAAATATGTTAAAAAAGCCAACTTTCTTTGTGTTGTACTCAGCTCAACCAAAGGCTTTCCAACAAGGGCCCAATATAGTTTGAATGGTCAGCATTTACTACAATTTATAGGAGAGTGTTTCTAGCAACAAAGTTGGCTTTCCGATTGTTTTTTTTTTTTTAATCAAAAAGACTTTTAATTTAGCATTCACTCTATTATTTCTATGCCAAAATAGTAGTTAAATAATTTATCTTATATTAGTGCACGAAATTTAATTTTTTTATTATATTTTTTTATTAATTTTGTATATGTAAATATGTATGTATGCATATAGTATGACGATCATAACGAGCTCCCACTCTTAAGAGTTTTTTAAAATTTTCCGCTTTTACACTCCCGCTCCCGCTCTCGCTCTGTATGACTTAGATAATTATCAAACTCTAGTTACATGTCAAGGGCCTTCAGTTCTGCAAAGAAGTATATTTTCTTACTAACAACAATAACTTCAAAGAAATTAAAGCCAATCAAACATTGCAAATGGACATTTAAACAACTATGCAGGTTTAAAACAATGTGATACAATGATCGATAACTGAGTCCACTTACNCACTCCCGCTCTCGCTCTGGCTCTGTATGACTTAGATAATTATCAAACTCTAGTTACATGTCAAGGGCCTTCAGTNCGCTCCCGCTCTCGCTCTGTATGACTTAGATAATTATCAAACTCTAGTTACATGTCAAGGGCCTTCAGTTCTGCAAAGAAGTATATTTTCTTACTAACAACAATAACTTCAAAGAAATTAAAGCCAATCAAACATTGCAAATGGACATTTAAACAACTATGCAGGTTTAAAACAATGTGATACAATGATCGATAACTGAGTCCACTTACAAAAAACTATTGACATCTTTCAAAAAAAAAAATTTTTTGTCCCAGGGCTGAAATCTGCACTACAAAGTGACCTAATCACTCTACCATGATAAAGGCTCTTTTGTGTGTGTGTGTGTGTGTGTTTCCAACCCCGTTTGCAGGTCACAACAAAAGTAATATAATCCGAAAAAGAAACATTGATTAGGATAGAATAGTTTACCAGAAAGGAATCAAACTTGATCTGCTTTGACTTGGTTTACAGCCCAACTCATCTCTTGCAGCAGTTGAGTGGACAAGTCTCTGAAACTTTGACGACAACTCTTGATAAGAATGAATTTCAGATGGCTTCGCTTGTTTAATTGCAGTTTTTAGATGCTCCATTGTTATTTCTGTGGCATCAAGGCTCTCCTGAGATCATAAAATATACACAGAAATATACCAATTTCTAAAACAAAGTTTGCAAAATGAATCTAGTTACTTTGCAGAGAGAGAAATCCAACTAACAAGAAGCAAAGGACGAACCTCAATAGCTGCAATTGCTGCTTCACGGCAGATTAGGGATATATCAGCACCGGTACAGCCTTCTGTGAGATGAGCCAGCTCCTTAATGCAGAAGTCAAATAGGCAAGGCATTTTATGCAAATGAATGCGGAATATCTCCTCACGGTCTTTTTGACTTGGTGGCCCCACATATAGAAGCCGGTCAAATCGTCCTGTCACATTTTTTGATAAATAATCAGAGGCTTGTCAAATTACTGAAAAGAGAAATAAATGGATAGTGGCTAACGCAGACTTGAGAGAAACTTCTAGCACCTGGTCTTAGAAGGGCAGGGTCAATCTTATCCGGCCGATTTGTAGCAGCAATAACAGTAACATTAACTCTTTGATGCAAACCTAAATCAACAAAGTATTTATTCATGTCAAAGACTCAAGTAGAATCATAGAGAATGAGTTTGACACCTTCACAGAATAAACTACATTATAACAATTTTTATTCTGATAGGAAACTAGCAATATTAATAATGATTAAGAGAACAAAGGTACATGAGAGTGCAAGAAGTCCTCTACGAAAAAAACGTAAAAGAAAAATATAGAATACAACTGGAAAACAAAAGGCATTAAAAAGGTAAAAAGAAGAATCCCAGGTATTAACGTTCTTAACACACTTTTTTTTCATAAAATAGAGCTTCAAGCATCATGGGATTATCTAGCATCCCAAATAGGTTGGCATCCCAGGAAATCCCGAATCATGTGCTATAGGCTTGAATATTATTAATGAAAGAAAAAGAGAATACATGGAAGAAGTGGAAAATAAAGAAAAGTTTGGTCCCGGTAGCTTATAAAATGCCACAATCCAGCTCACAGAGGACTCAAAACCACCCTATGGTTTAAACCTATACAAAGGGAGGCTATACATGTTGTTACGGAGTTGAGTAGCAAGCAATGTAGGTGCAGCCAATGTTCTTCACACACTTGAGCCCAATGATTCTTGATCAAGGAAAGTGGACTTCTTTCAAACTCTTTTGTGGTGGAAGCCCAAAGAGATGCCATGAAGGTAGACCCCCCCCCCCCCTTTTTTAATTTTGNTGGTTTAAACCTATACAAAGGGAGGCTATACATGTTGTTACGGAGTTGAGTAGCAAGCACTGTAGGTGCAGCCAACGTTCTTCACACACTTGAGCCCAATGATTCTTGATCAAGGAAAGTGGACTTCTTTCAAACTCTTTTGTGGTGGAAGCCCAAAGAGATGCCATGAAGGTAGACCCCCCCCCCCCCTTTTTTAATTTTGGCTCGAGACATTAAACCCCACTGAACCCAATGGTCTTTCCTTACTTCTCCATTACCTTCCCATAGAAAATCACTCATTATTTTTGGCTACATTTTGCACAACTTTATGAGACATCCTAAAAAGTGACATATAGAAAATAGGAACACTCGCAATCACCGAATAGATAAGAGTGAACCTACCCCCCTTGACAAAAAGAGTTTTCTTCCACTCATCAAGTTTTTTTCAACCTTTCAAACCACGGGCTCCCAAAAAACTAATAACTTCGGATTAACCCCCAACCGGCAACCCTAAATACTTCAAAGGCCATTCTTAGATAGAACATCCTAAACCTTCAGCNCGTCAAGTTTTTTTCAACCTTTTAAACCACGGGCTCCCAAAAAACTAATAACTTCGGATTAACCCCCAACAGGCAACCCTAAATACTTCAAAGGCCATTCTTAGATAGAACATCCTAAACCTTCAGCCAATCTAGCCAACGTATCCTATCGCACATTAATTCTTGTAATTGCACTCTCGGATAAGTTCACTTTGAGACCTAACACCAATTCAAAACATTGTAAATTAAAGCAATTGAATGAATATTATTTTCGTTCCCTTCACAAAATAAAATGATGTCATCTACAAATTGTAAATGAGTCACCTCCACACTTCCTCTTCCAATTCTAAAACCCTCAATAACCTCTATTATTTTCCCTATCCATCTTTCTACTCAAAACATTCACCATCAAAGTATAAAGGAAACGAGAGAGATGAGCTCCTTGCCTAAGATCTCTAGATGTCTTAAAACACACTTTCGAAGCCCCATTAACAATCATGGAAAAATTCACTCAACTAAAACGACCCATAATAATCCACTTCCTTCATCTTAAACCAAAGCCTTTACATTCCATTACATAATCCAAAAATTCTCAATCCACCATATCATTTTCTTTTTCAAAATCTACTTTGAAAACAAGACCTTCCTTATTTCCTTATATTCCTCTATGATCTAATTAGCAATAAGCATCACATCCAAAAATTTGCTATCCCTAACAAAGGTACCTTGTGAGACAGAATTAGTACAATTCAACACTTCCTGACGTCTTATTGAAACAACTTTGGCCGAAATCTTGCGAAGATTAGTAACAAGACCAATGGGCCGAAGACCTTTATCCCTGGTGATTTCTCTTTCTTAGGATGAGACAAATAAAAGTAGTATTTGTGCATGAGTTCACTATTCCATTCTCAAAAAACTCTAGAAAAACCTCCATCAAGTCCCCTTTAATAATCTCCCAGCACTTTTGAAAGGCAATCAATAGTAAAACCATCGGGATCCAGAGATTTACCTCCATTCAGTTCAAATATAGAGGCTTTAATCTCCTTTTCTCTTCTTCAAAAGCCCTCTTAAGCCAACAAGACTTGCTCTCTTCAATAGGACCCCAATCCAAACCCTCAATAATTGGTCTAATTGTACTCCCGCGAGATCTCCATTCAATCTAAACCCTCAACAATATTGTGAATCTCTATTAAAGAGAATAACCAAGCATACTTACCTCAGATTCTGTTGGCAACACATCTTAAAAGTGAAAATAAAGACATTTAAAAAATTTACACTTTACAACCAAACTTTGAGGAAAATAAAGTGCTACTGTACTTTACATCTCAAATAATCCTTCAGATTAGACTATTATGTTAAATATAGCCCAGAAAAACACATGAAAATTTCTTTCAAAGACATGGTGTTTATAATTAATTACATACCATCCAATTCAACAAGAAGTTGACTCATAACGCGATCAGCAACTGAAACTCCATCGCTTTCCTTACCACGAATGACAGCAAGACCATCTATTTCATCAAAAAATATAACTGATGGAGCATTGGCCCTTGCCTTAGCAAACAGAGACCTTACAGCCTTCTCAGATTCACCAACCCATTTGCTGAAAAGTTCTGGGCCCTTTACTGCAAGGAAATTTAACCCTGCTTCAGAAGCTACTGCACGGGCCAGTAGGGTTTTGCTGCAACCCGGGGGGCCAAACATCAATACCCCTGTAGGGGGGCGAGTTCCAATGCGCTTGAAAGCATCCTGATACTTCTGAGGCCATTCCACGGCTTCCATTAACTGCATCTTAACCTCCTTTTGGCCACCAACATCTTTCCAGCTAACCTTTGGAACCTCAAGCATAACCTAATAGTAGAGTGAACATGTCCAAAATGCAATGAATCAATGATGAATGCAAGAAGCAGAAGAAAACAAAAAATTATTAGGAGTTCTGAACATCTAGAATCATTTCAATCACTTGGCAGCCACAATAAGAGTGTGCCAACATCCCAATATCTCACCAGATATGTGAAACCCTATCAATCGCACCTTTTGGTTTCTTGACAAGGTAGGGGGCTCAGCACTGTCAGACTCGTGTTATTTCATCAACACTAAAAGGCTTAATCAACTATAGATAAAGCATTTGAAAAAGGTTATCTAATTGGTCCCTAATGTTCAATCATTAAGGAGTTTTAAATAAATCACACATAACACAGGATAATACACCAAAAAAAGTTGAACAATTGAAAAGAAGTCCACCCATTTGATGACATACGCTGAATGGTGCAGGGATGAGTTTAAAACTATCAACTTCCCAGTTGAAACCGATAACATTCAGGGGAATGTGTGGTCACCTACTCTATTACTCATGCAAAATAAAATGCCTCAATGAAGTTGTGAGCCACCAGAACTACATGAATCGATTTGATTCTCAATAGTAGCCATCAGTTCCAGTACAGATACTACACGAAGAATATTGGCAAAACAAAGGGGAGATGTTACACTTACTTCTCTCATGGCACTTGGTCTTATTTTCATTCTAGCCTGTTCAAAATCCGCAAAAGCTACACTCATAATGAGTTCCTCCGCTACAAAAGTCCCGTTTACTTTGTGATTGACTCCATTCAATATCTTCGATGAAACAATCAGTTCCGAGATAGACGAGAANGCAAAAGCTACACTCATAATGAGTTCCTCCGCTACAAAAGTCCCGTTTACTTTATGATTGACTCCATTCAATATCTTCGATGAAACAATCAGTTCCGAGATAGACGAGAATGAAGACTCCAGATTATCCCCCAACTTCAAGTTTTCTGCATCTTGTAAACAATCAGAGTCTTCCATTTGACTAGCAGAGCAACCATTGCATGAAAGAGAAGATCTGTTAGAATGTGAATCACCACAAGAGGACTTGAATTCTACATAACGCCTAAGACAAACCAAGGCTGCTTCATTGCAGAGGGAGGCTAGATCAGCACCCACGAATCCATGAGTAGCCATAGCAAGATGTTGAACTTGCACATCTAAAAGAGAATGTCTCATTTCACTGAGAAGGGCAAGCAGTATGTCGTAACGTTGCTTGGGCGATGGCACGCCTGCATATAAGTTTTGCATGAAATATCAAGTCAGTTAATGCCAAAATAAATTATTTTAGTTTTAGCCCTTATAAAAAGAAAACTAATTCTTGAACTCCTTTCACGCTCATGTCACGTCTACAAAAGAAAAAATTACAAAATCCGATCTAATTTATCATAATCGATTAGTTAACATGTTGGTTAACCATATTATGAAGCACGGAAAAAAATCATTGGCTTATCAATTGTCTATTGAGCCGTGAAAGATATTCGACAAAAGACAAAAACAAATCAACTATCTATTTTACATCAAGCAATTCGTGGAATAACTCTCAATATAGCAGTAAAAGCAAGACGTTTAGGTGGATCAACTCATCAAGTTCCCATTGAAATAGGATCAACACAAGGAAAAGCAATTGTCATTCGTTGGTTATTAGCAACATCCAAAAAACATCTGGGTCGAAATATAGCTTTCAAATTAAGTTCTGAATTAGTGGATGCTGCCAAAGGGAGTGGCGATGCCATACGCAAAAAAGGAAGAGACTCATAGAACGGTAGAGACAAATAGAGCTTTTGCACATTTTCGTTAGTCCATGAACAAGATCTATATAGACACAGAGATCCATGGATCTATACATCTCCATCGGAAAAGAATCATAGCAAACAATAATAAGCCAAAACTAGTTGGCCTTGTACAATACTTGAACAACGATAGTTACTCAATGCCTAACCATAGAATCTGTTGAAATTTATATTATAGTTCCACTATGATTTTTTACTAGACCCCAAGTGGTTTTTTAATATCTCCTATTCTACAAAAAATTCTACTTGGATAATTTTATTAAAAAACTAACTATTTTAAAAATTTTAGTTTTGGGGTAAATTTGAGTTCAAAACATGAATATTGACCTATACTGTCGGACCCTTTAACTCCCAACAAGTGGGAATCAAAGTAGGAGTGATTTGACAACCCAAACGCATTACTATGTGGAGAATATGAATAGAATGTAACATGATTGATTGCTTGAATTATGCAATTAATTGTTTGTGCCCTTATTTATGCCATTATTGTAATGGTTAAAACCAATAAGGACTTTCTACACTTTTATGCAGATCCAATTTTATTCTATTTTCCCTAAGTGGAATATGCATCATGGATTAAAATTTCGCTTCAACTTGTACGAAACATATGAACTTTTTGTTATTCAACCAATGCGAAACAAAATAGCGGCTTCAATGCAAAAATGTAGAGTTTGCGCTTGCACAAAAACATTTAGGATAATGTTTAAGAAAATGCAAATGAAATCCCCAAAACTAGCAATAACTCGGAAAACTGACTAAGTGATTAAAAAGTTGTATACCATGAGGGGAAACAATGGACCAATTTGTGAATGTCGGTGGCCAGGAACCTAGTCATTGCTTGTGTATTTTTTTAAAGAAAAAACTAGTATAAAATTTTCCTAGGCAAAATAGCCATAATTGTTACAAATTCACCAATGAATCAACAAGTGTTATTTTTCAAAAATGATTTCAAACAAGAAACTATATTAGCTTTTTGCCTCTATAGCGAAAAAAAAATCTTATTAATTTCCATAATATCATAATGTATCAACATATATATTAAAAAATAAAATTCTCAATAACATTGTCTATTTTGAATTCCAAATTTATTTTTACCAAATTCATCAATATCTCTAAAATTATTTATGTCACTGTTTAAGATCAATATCAATCAATGATTTCATTGAGTTTTTACAAAGTTTAGTTTGATGTTGATTTTATGACTTTTGATTTGATAAAATACTGAACGCAGATAATAGCTCAATTATCCTAATGGTTTAATAGATCAAGTAGGCATATTGAAGTACAATGCATATTTGTTTGAAATTATTTTTGAAGTTGTAAGATATATCGTGAGATCCCAGAGTTTAATTATGTGAGATGGTGATGGACTGAAAAAATGAATTGTCAACCATTTAGTGGTAACATGTGTCAACCAAGAGCCTTGACATATGTCTACCATAGAAAAGTGACAAGTGTCAACCATGGGGTGCTGACACATGTCACAACCACATGAGCACCTTGGAGACCAAGTATCCCCCCATTGAATTTAGAAAGAGTAGCAATTTTCAGTTACAAATCAATGGAAAAGCCGAGAAAGATGGAAAGAGAACAAAGAGAGAGGAGGAGGACAGAGAGGAAAGGTGAGGCCTCACAATCAAAATCAAACGGTGATATATGGTACAATTTTTATGAAATTTGAGTATATTATTTGTGGTAGTTTACATTTCATATCTATCAAATCGATTAGCGAAACTCTTTGCAAATAACAACTCCTTAATTATTTTTCATTTGTATTTTATTTGGTTCATATGTTATGATCTTAAATTCCTATTGAATTCCCTTGAACATGTTGAATATGTTGATCGTGTTTTGTGTAGATCACACTAGATCGTAGCCAACAGTCTAATGCATCACATCGCCAGTTCAACACAAACCTCTAGGGTGAGGTGAGCTGGGGTGATTCATGAGTTGTCGAGTTTATACCCGAGTCTTGCATGGCATGTAATATGGTTGGAGTAAGAATTGCAATATCATTTCGGTCTGCTCGAAAATGAAAACGTTTCAAAAACGGAGAAAAATATGGAAACAAATAAAAACATAAATAAATCCCTTTATTTATAAAGATAAGCTTAATAATTGATTGATTGAGCATGTTTATTAAGTTAACATCCATTTATACAAGATAATATCAAGTTTGAGGGCAAAAGGCTAGACACGAGGCAAACATCATTTCAACTAATTTCAAACGCTTAATGAGTACAAATTTATTATTTGTATGCTATAATAATACTAAATTACTAATTATCACACACATAAATACTTAATTTCATATATTTAATATACCATAAAATTAATTACAGCTATTTATTAAACAAGGTATATTGTTAATATACCAATTTAGCAAATAATGATAATCTATAAGAAAAAAAAGAAAAAGTAAAAAAAAGGGGGGGGGGATTACAAAAAGGGTTATTACTTACCCAAAAAAAAAAACATAAGTTATTAACAATGATAAAAGGAAAAAAAAAAAAAA